CCCTCTCTCTGAGGGGCCTGCCACTCAGCTCCCAAATAATCACACAAACACTTATTCTTACTTATGAATACACAGCCTTATCTTGGCTTACTTCTAGCCAGCTTTTCCTAACTGAAATCATCCCATCTACCTTTTGTCTTTGGGCTTTTATCTTTCACTGTTTCTGTTTATCTTTTCTTTCCTTCTTATTCCATCCTGGCCATGTGGCTAGGTGGCTGGCCCCTGGCATACTCCTGTCCTTTTTTTTTCTTGATCCCCAATCTCTCTTCCCAGATTTTTCCTATTTCTTTTCTCTGCCCCACCTATCCCTCCTCCTGCCTTGCTATTGGCCATTCAGCTCTTTATGAGACCAATCAGGTGTTTTAGACAGGCAAAGTAATACAGCTTCACAGAGTTAAACAAATGCAACATAAAAGAATGCAACACATCTTTGCATCATCAAACAAATATTCCACAGCATAAATGACTATAACACATCTTAAGCTAATATTCCACAACAGATCTCTCAGGATCTGCCTTCCTCAGCCTCCTGAGTGCAAGGATGCATTCCTCCCCCTCACTTGTAATCCAGTTTAGACCTTTTCCTGTTGATGGTTCACCAAGATTTTATCATTAAGAATAACTAATCTTTTTCTGTCTTCTAATCTAGTAGTTAAATTTACTCCAAAGAAGCAAAAAAAAAAAAAAATGTTTCTGTTAAGTTCTGGATCTTGTATTTTATAACATGTGCATATGCAAATTTCATATGGTGTGAATGCTTAGTGACATTTGGATTCCTGCTCTGCAAGGTGTTATTATCTGCCTTAAATAAAATTAGGTCCTTATTTACAACAATAGACTGTGTGGTTTCTCTCATTTCTCATCACTTTCTCCTTAGGTTGGAATTCTGAGTATTTCGTATGATAGGTATGGTATAGAGTGGTGTGTGGGTGTTTGGGTTGATGGTGTAGCTCAACCATCATAGTACAACTCTTTTCATGGATTTCACTTTTGATTGCAAAAAAAAAAAATCATATTTCTCAGCATTTTTCCTGCCTAGTGAATATAGGTTGCTATAGAGACAAAAATAGACCACAGGGACAGTGAGATGGGTCAGAGGATAAAGGTGCTTGCTGCCAAGCTTAACAACTGGAGTTTGATGCCTGGAACCCACAGAGTGGGGGAGAGAAGCGACTCTGCAAGTTGTCTTCTGACTGCATGCCATGGCGCGCGCGCGCGCGCGCGCGCGCGCACGCACACACACACATACACACGTAAAGTATTTTTGCTTTATCTTAATGTATATGAATGTTTTACTTACATGTATGTTGTACGCAGTGCCTTCAGAGATCAGAAGAAGGTATCTGAATCTCCTGGAGTTACAGACAGTTGAAAGTTATCATGTAAGCTGGGAATGGAACCCAGGCCCTCTACAAGAGCAACACGTGCCCCTTTAGCCACAAGCCATCTCTCCAGCCCAGTAAATATTTGTTTTTTAAAATCAGGATACAGGTTTCCTCTTTTTGAATTATAGAAAGCATATTTGGTCTCCTGCCAAACCTATTGCCCTGTCCTTGCTTATTGAGCACCAGCAGCAAATTGGGGGCACTCTCCTCTCCAAAGGAAAAACATTAAGAATCAAGGTATTACTATTTCCTTAAAATAACATCAAGGCAAGGTGTTGGTGGCACATGCCTTTAATCCCAGCACTCAGGAGGCAGAAGCAGGCGATTCTCTGTGAGTTTGAAGCCAGCCTGGTCTAGAGAGAGAGTTCCAGGATAGGCTCCAAAGCTACACAGAGAGTGCATTCCCGACCCGCCCAAGTGACTCACTGGGGTAGGAAAACTCCCGGGTCTGCCCTGTATAACCAAAGGCGGCGCAGACCAGGTAAGGGCGGTCGCCGGGCCGCGGGGCCCCGCTTCCCTTCCCGCCCGGTGGGGCGAGCCTGCAGGAGGCCTCGGCGCAGCCTCCGGGAACCGCTAGGCCTCCGGGGGTTGCTTTCTGGGCTCTAGAGTCTCTGGGTCTTTGCACGTTGGTTGCGAGCTCAGGACTCCCGGCCCAGCTTGGCGGCTCCAGGGTCTCTCTCCGGAGTCACATTCCAGGATCCCTAGACCGCGGGCTCCCCAGTGCTGATTGCTCAGTCCCTTTGCGGAGCGCAACTCCCATGGCTCAGCCCCCAAGTCCAGAACCCCCGAACCCCCGAACTCCCGCCCTGACACATGCCTGGATCCTCGGATCCGGGAGGATCCCAGATCTCGCGCTTCCGGCACGAGGCTGAGCTCCAAAGAGGAAGAAACAACGTTAGTGTTTGGTATTTTACTGTTGAAAAGTAAGAAGCAGACGGATCGTTAATGTTGCACAAAAGTGGGAAAACAAACCCAAGTCCACCACGGTTCTGCCCTCGGAAGAAAGGAAGGAGATTGTAGTCGTTCTCAGATTCTTGGAGAGAGGCATTTTGGGCTTTGTTAAGGAAAGTGGATTGTTTAGGAGTAGTGGTGCACCGCCGCACATTCATACAGAATTTTATACTTTAAAGCCTAATGCGTCTGCTTAATTTGCAACATTTTGTGAGTATGAGAAAAGAAGGAAGAGATTTACAGTTGGAATTGGCGGGGTGGCGGCGGTGTGTGTGTGTGTGGGGGGGCGCGGATAGACATACAGAAGCATCAAGGCTATCGGTGTGCTACGTGGGACGGACACTACAAGATGAGCCTGGTGACTTTCTTGCGGTTGTCTGCTAAGATTGCTTAGATGATTCTTGTTTGAAGCAGTAATGATACTCGGGTACTGCTGCAGGTACTGTAACTGAGATCAGTGCTTGCCAACTGGGGGGTTTTGCTGGATCCTGGCTAGGTTCATTGGTTTGAAATTGAAGCACACCAAATTGGTGGTATGCGTGAATACCTGCCCTCCCCTGGTCCCTAGGATGCTAGTGGTTCTTAATAAAAAGCCTGGATGTACAAGGCACAGAGCCTGAAAGAATTAATTCCGTTTTTAAATGAATGTAAGCCACTGTAGTCATGTATTTTAAGAATTCAGTAGGAATGTTGTGGGATTCTCCGTTGACTGGTAACATTGGCAAAATGGTGCAGTTGAAAAGTCCCTCCAAGAAAATACATCCACTAGGGATTTGTGTATTTGAGGAAGGGTGTATTTAAGTTTTTGGGTTTTTTTAAAAGCATTGTATGTGTGTATATGTGGTATGTGTATTCTTGTATGTGGGTACACAGGTGTGTGAATGTGTTTTTATGAGCATGTAGAAACTCAAGATTGATTTGGAATTTTCCTTTATTGTTTTTGATCTTATCCTTTGATACAAGGTCTCTCAGCTGAACCTAGAGTTCACTGATTGAACTAGTCTTGCTAGCTAGCTAGCTGTGGAGATCCCGGTCTCCACCTTCTAAGCACTGTGGCTCCAGGAAGGCTGCCATGCCCATGGGTTCTGGAAATCTGAACTCCTGTACTCACATTTGTGTGGTAGAAGGTTATCTGATGAACGTCTCCCTGGTGCTTAAGTGTATTTTTAACTTTACATATAGTAAAATTCATGTTTTGGAGTATTGACTGCCACTGTAATTAAGAACACAGAAGTTTCCTTACTGTGTTCCTTGTAGTTAGCCTTTTCCTGCCGTCAACTATTGGCAACCACTGATCTTTTCATAGTACTGTTTTGCCTTCTCTCGAAAGTCCTATGGTAATCTTTGAGTCTGCATTTGAGATGATACTATGCTTTCCATAAAATATATGGGGTGGGGCGACAGGGTTGGGAGGGAAGTTGGTACATTTAAGGTCCGCCATGGTCTTTTATCAGCTGAACACCATTAAATGAAAATGTGTGAGAACATATGTAATACTGTGCTACAAAAAGCCCTACTCAGATATGTCTGTGAGTAAAGTCTGTGCTTTGAAAAGTAGAGACTTTTGGGAAGGTGAGATGGCTTAATGGCTACAAACATTTGCTGCACAAGTGTGACAGCCCGAGATACAACCCATGGTGGAAGGAAAAGAGGGAATCCTGAAAGTTGTCCTCTGACTGCCACAGGGACACGGTGATTTGTGCCCACATTCATCCCATCATACACGAATTATAAACAAGTGCTTCTATAGAAGTAAAAAAATGTAGTTCTGGATACAAAGCTACACAGAGAAACCCTGTCTTCAAAAAACTAAAAATAAAATATAAATTAAAAAATAACATCAAGATGGAAATTGGGAGGAAAATCAAACTATTATTTAACTTTCTTTTTTTTCCTGAGACAGGGTTTCTCTGAAACTTTCTTATTCTTATCTCAATGGTTTGGAGCTGTTTTGGCTTTGATCTGTATAAAGGAGTTTATTTAGGATTCTTATTAGTGGTAGTAGTTAGCATTAGTAGTGGAAGTTAGCATTGTTATAGGTAGTTGTAGTAGTATTTAGCATTATTATTATTACCAGTAGTAGTATTTGGCATTAGTAGTAGTAATAGTATTTAGCAGTATTATTAGTAGTACTATTTAGCATATATATTAGTAGTAGTAGGAGTAGTAGTAGTATTTAGCATATGTATTATTATTAGTAGTATTTAGCATATATAGTAGTATGGAGTTTGGTGCCCCAAGAAAAGACCACAGACTCAGTCAGGATTATAATTAGTTACATTTGTTAAAGCTGCTGCTAGCAGGACAGCATCTCTGAACCAAACTTGAGATCGCTGCACAAAGTGAGGGTGAGAGAAGGATCTTTAAAGGTGAAAACCACAAGGAGACTGTGAATATCTGCACAAGAAAGCCAAGAGCTGTTCCACTCTGCCAAGCTTAAGTGGTCAAGAGACCTCAAAATAGTCCTTGAATGT